GCGGCTCGAACCATTAAGATTGAGTCATAGAACTTGAAGATCTGATCATTAGATCAAAAGTTATTCGAGTGTTCCGTTTTTTTCCTTTTTTTGTGTGTGCACTGTACTTGTTCTGTTGGCTTCGTCGTCATACAGGTTTCGTTGAATAGGTAAAAAAGGGTGACATGATAAGAAAGGTTTCTAAAATTATTGTCAGTATGAAGGAAAACTGTCCCTTATGTTGACAGAGTCATCAAAAGTTCCTAATTAGCTTTGTTTTTACTGATTTCGAATTTTAAATGAAAGGCTATTTTAAATTAATGTAGCAGAAAGACAGCATATAACTGAAACTGTAGTAAACGTTCGGATGGTGGTTAAATATTGATTTTTATCTTTCTGCAGGGATAATGGGTTAGAGAGGAAAACGTAGCCACAGAAAAAGAATTTTATTAAATAGTTTTGATAAAAACGTAAAGTAATTTTTATTTATTTTCAAAAAATAAAACACTACTCAAAATAGAAGAGGAGTGGTTGATATTCCCAGCCAAAACAAAATGAAACGAAAATCAATTTTTCCCCCTATCTAATCCAGTGAAGTCCTTAATAACATATTTTAAAAATTTACAATAACATATTTGTGACGATAAAAACTGCATTAAGAAACATGTACATCGGTTCTTATAAAGCTATTGAAGACATTCACATACATTCAAATTTTCGAGAGATATTTCTTTGTTTTTCATGCAGAATTTTGAAATTTACCGAAATGATATTTAGAACCAAAGTCTTCATTTATATTTTTTGTTGAATACTTCCCGGCGGAAAATCCAAGGAAATATTGTAAAATGTTAAAATGAATAATCTAGAAACAATCTTAATTATAATTCATAAAAAATAAGAAGTTACATGTAAGGGATAATTTGCAGTGTATCAGACCGGTTCAATAGATATTAATTATTAATAGATATGGATATTAATATTTAATTATGAAATTTTTTTCATTTAAAATCCTCTATCTGCAATTACAGTCTCTGGCCAAATTATTTGAAGCACTATAAGATTCTATGCAAAATCTTAATTATCCGGTGATACTATACTGCTTTATTGTTTCTATGTGACTTAAACCGGTTTGCACTTGCTTACGTTAGTGTATCAATTGGTTTAATTAGACGATATATAGTATAAATTTGTCGATAGGATAAATTAGACGATATATTATATTAAATTAAGAATATTTATTTTATCAAGCATTATATTAGTCTATTATAAGAATTGAATCAAATTATTATACTCAAATTATTATACTTCAAATCACTTATATATGTACACGTTTTAATTCAAGAGATTTTTCATATACTTATATACTTCTTATTTGTATTTGTTTTTAGCGTATTGCATTGCAATATTAATCAGGTCAAGGAGCGTAAACAAATGTAGACCGGTTTCATCCTTTTAGAAACAATATGACTGTGCAGTATCATCTGATAATTATAATTCTACATAAAATCTTACAGTGCGTCTAATAATATAACTTTGGGACTGTAGGTTATTATTGCATTGGCCACCAAGTTCTCTCTGTTTACTTTTATTTTTTACAGGTATCATGAATTTTTCCTGCCAAATTTTTTAATATTTCTTTATCGAACTTAACTTGAAGACTAGAAATGGGCAAATTTGAAGGACAAAATTGAAATGGACGAATTTTGTTTCTAATTTTAACTTGTCATACCCAGTGTGAATCGTTCTTTCAGCTATTGCACCTCTATTAAACTCGATCAGCTATTTTACTCTATTGCACCTAAGACACAGCACAAATGTTACGGGTAGCTTTTGCGGTATTAAAATGTATAGAAACGGGAAGCTTTTTTCAATTTGAGGGCCTTTTAAATTACTGTAAATTATTTTCAGTTGTCTATGTGTCACTTATTGCACTTCTTTCTTCAAAACTAATCTTTGCGCCAATACTTTGTCTTTAAACTATATATTTGCATTATTATATACTTGTTGGTTAGATATCAATTCATTTACCATGGAAATTGAATAAGTATTTCAAAAATATTTCTGTTTCATATTAAGGTAATGTAAAGTATTCTAATCCAGCCACTGTTTATAGTAATATGGTTATTAAATATTATTTTATTTTATTTTTTTATATTATGAAACTAGAGATACATTAATTCAATTCAAAATATATTATAATTGCTTTTAGCTTTTCTCTTAAAAATAATAACTAAAAATAATATCTTTATTGAAACGTGTCTATAAACGCTTGCTTCTTAAAATTTATAATTATAATCATGCACATCAGTATTATATCAAAAAGATTTTGCATATACCTCCCTTTAGTACGACACCTGTCGTTGAAATTTTTCAGCTGTTAATTCATATTGGTTTCTTTGTTGTCTTTAAAAACATGTGTACTAGCTTTTCTTAAAACCTTAAATAGGTAACCGTGATGGCTCAGGGGATAGAGCATTCTCTTTCTAATGGGGTGGACCGGGTTCAAATTCTAGGAATGGCTGGTCGATACAAAATCCGCATCCGGCTCGCATCGACCACAGTAATGACGTAAAATATCCTCAGTGGTAGACGGATCACGGGTTAGAGTCGCCTTTGCTGTTAAGCTAACCATGGGAGGTATTCGTGATTTTCCTCTCCATGTAAGGCAAATGCTGGTTAGTTCTAGCAAAAAGTTCCCCATGGAGGCAAATTTCTTCCAATACTTGATTCAGGAGTACACCCGTTCTGGATCGGGCTCAAAATTACAGGGCTATGGAGGAGTTGAACATTAGCAGTCGTAAAACCAAAAACAAATTGTGAATGCTGTTCAACATCTAGATGCGGGTTTTAGATGTGATGATTGATGACAACAGCTAGATGTGGTGACTGGTTTCCTAATTTTAAACAGGAGGCCGTGGTATTATATCAAAAAAGTTTTGCATGCATTTTCATCTAGCATGACACCCGTTGTTGAAATTTTTCAGCTGTATAATTTATATTGATTTTTTTGTTGGAAAACATGCGTACCAGATTTCTTAAAACCTTAAATATGGAGCCTTGATGGCTCGGGTGATATAGCGCTCTCCTCCCATTGAGATGACTTGGTTCGAATCTCCGTGATGGCTGGTAGATTCGAATTCCGCATCAGGCTTGCACCAATCACAGTCCTGACGTGAAATATCTTTAGTGGTCGGCGGATCATGGGCTAGAGTTCTTTTGCCGCCATGTTAACCGTGGGAGGTTTTTGTGGTTTTCCTCACCATGTAACGCAAATGCGTGTTAGTTCTATCAGAAAGTCCCCCACGAAGGCTAATTTCTTCCAATACTTGATCCAGGAGTACTATACTTTCTAGATTGGGTTCAAAATCGCAAGGCTACGGAGTTGAACATTTGCATTCGTAAACTCAAAATTGGTTAAACTATTCAACGACGGTTACAAAATAAAGTCTGAATCTGGAAGATTTGTTACAGTCCATTATATAGAATCCATTGATGAAAACTGCTTACAACATTGCACAAAGTTTGATAATTTGCAATTTAGTTTGTGTTTCCTCATTACAACTAATCTCACTCTCGTACTTCCCAAGAAAAAGTCTCTCCTTCAGCATGAACTTCCTCAGAGGAGGTCACACTTACATCCTGGAAAAGTCTATGTAATACTACACCGTTATTTTTTTTGCAACCATTTTTGATAGACTTTAATATAGGAGATTTGTTTTACATTTTTAAAATATTGTTTTCAGTAGTGCATGTGAATAAAAGTAATTTAATATATACGTCTCTCTTGCCACTAAAATACCTACTCCATACCACCGTACACACATGTGCCACCGTACCACCATACCTCCGTACACGCATGTGCCATAGGATCACAAACTCTGTCTTAGAACTTTGTTTGAAAGTAAAAAGAAATAAGGTGTGAAAAGTGCTCACTTTTCTGAACTAGAGATCAACATGAACAATAAAAAAACAGCACAGATACTGCTAGAATATCTTTCAATTGATCTTAAAAATTACGCCTAAAATATGTAACGTTAAAATATAAAAATAAAATAACGACTGGAACTTAGTTGCATACCCAATATAAACTCAATCATTATAGATAAAAAGTTTTCCATAAAGGTATTTTTGTAACAGTTCATGGAATTTATTTTAAGGCCTAGTATGATAAAAAAATATCATATCTGTCGAAAACAGCCAATGACATCGATGCTTACGTGGAACCAAAAAGGAAATGATAAATGATGCAATGCATCACATCTATCACGTAAAGGAGGTTGCTGTCGTATCTGTAGCAGATTCACATTATTGGTCTTGGCTATGAAAAAACATATATCCTCTGTCAAATTAATGCAGTTATAGATTGTCTTCTCAACTTTATCAATTCACCATGTAGCGATATCTAGCCAGGAGTCTTTTGAGAAACCGAGATTTCTCAGACAATAAAGATTTTTTTCTAAAATTAAACCGCCATGATTTCATAATATATCAACAAATACGCTGTAAAAAATTACGGTATAAAGGGCAAGCATTTTAGGTGTATCATCCGTAAAATCTATTTTATCTTAAAATTCATTTTTACCGTTAAATATTATACCGCGATTTTTTATTTAATGAGAGTGATTCAATGATTTGATAATTATTACTGCAAAAATTATGGTATGCCAGATTATTTGTTCCCTTTCATGTTCCAAAAAAATGGATTTCAATAATGGAATGTAATTTTAAGATGGAATGGTAAGAAGCACCGGCACCCTTAGTCCCTGTACTTTTTACTGTAATTTGATCCAGAATTGTTTACAGTGTGTGTGCTAGTATTCTAAAATATAGGATAAATTTTTTGTTCCTGAAATTCGTTCAAAAATGTCACGTAGTTCGAGAAATTTAGGAAATTAAATTTTGCTCATTGGTTTATCATTGGCTATTCTAAAATTAATCTGAAGTTGATTCTGTTTTTTAAATGTTTAAAATGTGATGTCAGTGTTATTTGCTAACTTGCAATCAGTTCTATTCAATCAAAAATGAGTGTTTTTAATACTCTTAAATATTTAATTGTTTTTGTTCATGTCAGGTAAGTACAATAATCAATGTGGATGCTGTGTGATATCACCGAATTACTATTTTTTAAAAAACTTTAAGCTGCGTAATTATTTTATTTATAGTTAGGCTTTTAAATCATATTTCTTTAAAAGCAAAACATATAAAATAAACGGTATTTGAACTGAAAAATAAGTAATATACTAAAAAGTAAAATAAGTATTTATTCGCTTATATGTATTGATAAGAGAGAAAATAATGGACTCTAAATTAGAATTTCTTAATTGTAGATGCTAGAATTCTTATGGGCCAACTATACACAAGCAATATATCTTATAAAATATGTTTCATAGAAAAATAATAAATATTTATGAAGGTATCAGCTATATCAAACTTTTTATAACTACACGTAAATAAAAAATTCTATTTCCTTATTTTTTTTAACAAATAAATTAAAATATTAAAATTTTGGTTTCAAATAAAGTTTGAATGACACGATTGCATATAAGTGCAAATATTACAAAAAAGAGTTTTTAAAAATGCGCAGTGCAGATGAAAAAGAAGCTATTGCATAACTATAGTTTAATACAAAGAGAAGTTTAAATTGTGTTTGATGCTTAATTTTATCTGCTCAAGCAATAATTAATCCTATCCAAAAAAAAAGGAGCTTGAATAAAGGTTTCTGAGCATATTTTTTAAATAAAAATATTCCTAAATTTTTACATTATATAAGTTCGTCAGTTTATACTCAACTTACTTGTTTTTGAATAGTTAGAGCATGAACTTTTACTGAAAAGAAAAAAAAAATAATATCTTCTCTCAGTTAAAGTAATGAAATTATTTTGTGAAGAAAAGCTCACGTTTTGAAACATTTATTTTTTGTTTCCCTGTCTTATTATAAGAATGCGTCTTTTTAATTTTTGTACTTTTTCTTTTATATCAAAAGATTCTACAGACATCAAAGGATTTTAAAATTCTTTAACTAGTTTTCCTGATTCTAAACTCATTGCATATTTGATATGTATCGAAGCTTAAAGAGCTTTTGTGACAACGTCTGTAAAATTCTAAAAAAAACAGTTTTTTAAGTCAATAAAAGCTTAAGAATTTTATATGCATGCAACATTTCTTTATCTAAACTATAAAAAGTTTCGGATCAATTCACTGTATAAAGTATCAGCACATTGGGTGCATTCTCCGTAAAATACATTTTTATCATAAAATATTATACCGTAATTTTTCAAGATTCAAGTGATTCAATGATTTTGCATTAATTATTACTGTATTATAACAAATTTTTTGTTCAGGTTCTGGTAAAAAGTTTCTTGTAAAAAGTACCGGCATCCTGAGTGATCGTAACATAATTTTATTCGGAATTTCTTACAGTAAAGACTTAAAGAGATTCAAAAAGTTCTAAATACATAAATAGGATGGATTAATAAATTAATTAGATTTTGAGTTTTCATTTTTGTAAATTTAACCTGTGTATTTAATTTCATTGATCCATCTGAATAATTAAATGATTTTTCCCAAATGAATCGGGAAGCTTTGTTAAAAGAATTATAGAGTGTATTGGTGAAATTAAATAAAAAAATGAAATTAGTAATTGTTAATTTTCTTTTTTTTGAGCTCTTGTTAGTATTTATCGAATTTCAATTTTGACTAAAATCATAGCTAATTAGATATATTTTAATGAACTTTAATCAGTTTCCAAGTTGAGTTTACTAATAAGTAATATATGTTTAAAATGATTGTCCGAAATGCATGTTCACTCTAATCACTAAATATTCATCTTTGACAAAAACTAAAAGATATTATGATTCACATTAAAATGAACATAAGAATACTTTTTTTGGAAGTTGCCAGAAGAATGTGCAAAAAAGTAATCACAGTAGTGGAAATTTTTTTGAAACTCTCTACGAACGACATTAGCGAAATTAAAAACCGTGAAAAAATGGTTTATCGAAATATGGTTTTTCCCTAATGGCCGGCACTGAACTTTTACGTCCTTCGCCTAGGAAGATGCCAGAAGTATTACTCATTTAACGTCACCCGGTGGGCTCCTGTGAACCAATGTCACGGAGGCGAGCAATATTACCCACGCCACACTGCCACAGATACCCGTTTATAGGGTGGGCCACATTCACACATCACACAATAAAGAATAACACACACAGAGAAACATCCATGCCCTGAGCGGGATTCGAACCCGCAGCCGCAGTCAGGCACGTTAACTGCTTGACCGTCTGGCCGGCACTTATCGAAATATCGAATATCGAAATTAAAAACTTTCAGAAATAAAACTAGAAAATAAAATTTTTTGTAAGAAACCAGTTATTACCATTTAACCAATTAAATAGCTGATGTAAAAATACCTTTTTCTTAAAAAGAATTTCAAACAAATCCGAAATTAATTTTAACTAAAACTTTAAGAGTGAAAAAGAGATTCTGATTATTTGATGTTTTACATTATTTCTAACTATAACCATCAACTATGATTAAAAAAATTTTTAAGAACAGCATAATCCAGTATGTTTCATTTATTAATATTAATTGCTTAATAACTATATGAGGTTATTTCTTAATAATTCTATTAATACATTTACAAAAAAAATTTTTTTTACTGTTAAAAAGTGTAGTGTAAAGTTGTTAAAAATATACATTTGACTTGATTTAAAACTGCTAACTTTGATTTAAAACTACTGCATAGTATTAGATAGCTCTTGTTTAATCAATTAAGAATCTTGTTAATTAATGTTATGTTGTCTACATTAATATTTCTCATAAAAATATGTTAAATTATTATAAAACTTTATATAATTTACTAATCTTGTTACTTTAAAAACATTTTGAGGCAATTTATATTAGATCTTATCTTCTAATCAAAGGTTTCTATTAATGGTTGCAATAAAACGGTAATAGTAATAAGAAATTTGGCAAATTAAAAAAAAATCAGAGTTACTTCAATGTTATTTCAACGTTATTTCAATGTTGTTTCAAACATTATGTGCTTTTATTTTTTCTAGGATAAATTTTATTTTTTTATACGCTGGATAATTTTTTAAAATTCAGAATGGAGACATTTTTTAATTTTGTATATGAATAAAAACGTGCTATGAAAACGAGATATAACCCGAGTTCATTGAAATGTTTTAAAGTTGCTTCAAATGAAACTAAAGCTATAAATGCTTTCTTCGCCCTCATCAATGTTTTATTTTTTAATTTATTCAACTATGAAACGATATCTGATATAAAACTAAATAAAAGATGGTTCCATAAGACTTGGAGTATGTATTTTCAATTTATCTCGTATCCCATTTCTTCAATTTATATCCTTTTAAGAACTTAATTTTTAATTTCGATGCATGAATTAAAAACAAAATAAAATAAAAATAAAAGGAAATATAATTTTATGATTTGGAATTTTTTTTGAATTATTTTCCAATTCTAATATCTAAGAATGAAAACAACTATAAAACTTAAAAATTTTGAAAGCAAGCAATTGTTTGAATAATTTAAAAAAAATAATTAAAGCTTGTAAGCATCAAAAATATAAAGCTATTTTTTTCATCAAAAGATGTTTAAACTTAAATCTTTAATTATTGTTTCACAAATAATTTGGGAATTAATTAAATTTACTCTCTAAGTAATATATCAGGTCGAAAAATTTAAAAGAATCTACTTATTTTTTAAAAAATTTAGCTTTTGGTATATTAGGCGATGATTGCAATAATAAAAAATAATGTCGTTTATTATGAATTATAAGAACAAGTGAATAAATGTTGGAGAGAGCTTTTTACTATTACTTAAACAAACTGACTAGTTAGATAATATATTGAATTCTTTCCAATTTTTTTATGAATTAAAGAATAAAAAGAAGCATTTCAAAGCATAAATATAAACCTATATTTAAGCATCCTCCCCTAAACCAAAGATTGTTATTTTTTTAAACATCACTAGAAATTATGCATTTAAACATGCTCTTTTCATTTTTTATATATTTAACATTCACTATTGAATTTCAAATATTCATTTTTTAGAATATTAAAAATTTCTAACTAAATTAAAATTAACATTGCACTTGAGTTAAACAAAACTCAACTTTTTGATCATTTGAATCGTTATAAGATTTAGAAATAAATTAAGATTTGAATTATTTATTGCCTTAGTTTTTAATTTATTTCATAAACTGTTCGTAGTATATATTTTGATTTTCTATAAATTTTTAAGTGGAAAAATGGTAAATAACTATTTAGAAAATAGTTTTAGTTCTCTAATTTTTTGGAATGACAATGCGCATGCGCATGTTTTTGAATATTCAAAATCAATACATGAATTGTAACTTATGGATTTGAAACTGGCTTTTACTGGCTTGATAAAAAGCATAAGAACTTGATTTTCTTACATTTCATCAAAATTCATTTTTGTTTTACAAAAGAACTAAGAATCTTCTAAAAATATTTTTTTATATGCACATTAAGTACTAATACTGTTCTAAAAACATTTTTGAGCTATTTATTACAATAAACGCAGATTTTTGAAGAAATTCACGAATACTTATAAATTAAAACGTTCCCGTAACAGTCAGTTGAAAGGAAGGTTCTTATGAAGGTAAAAGTTTAACAGCATCATACAAACGAAATGAGCGTGGCAATGTGAGTATGTAAACAGTATTGCGCACAAGCCAACTTTATTTATTAGATAAGACCTCATCTATTGATCCGTGGGCATGCTTGCACCGAGGGTTAGTGTACCTACCATATTTCTATATTATTTATGCAATCATCTAACAATCTTCCCATATTCTATTCCATATCTTTTAAACAACACAAAGCACAATAGCACAGCACACAAACAGCAATTAATAATTAAATTGTTTGAAAAAATTTGCGCTGGCAAAATATAAAAAGGCATCCAAAAAGACAAAACAACTTTTATACTTTTATACATAAATTTGTATCTTAGAGATGAGAATTTTAAGAAGATTAAAAAAAATTATACACTGAGAAAAAAGGTATGGTCAAAGCTGTTATACAT